GCCAAAAAAAAAAAAAAAAACAAAAATAAAAAGAAAGTATCGAGAACGTGCTCCCAGGAAGGAGCAAAAAATATCAGTTTTTTACTATCGGATTCAAGGGTACCCCAGCGGGACCATGCAATTCACTGGCGGCCTCTGGGGAGGAAGTCGAGTGGACTTCATTAGGAAATGGCACGCGCACCCCGCCCATGATCCCGGAGTTATGCAGCACGCGGGTTGTGCCCTTTTGACATGATCTTGAAGAGGGAAAGGAGATTGATGTCCCCCACTTCATGAGCCAAGTGGTCGGAGCCATTCAGAAGACCAGCCGGGCTGGAGAGATTGTGGACGAGATGGTGGCTGAAGCCGTCGACATGCTCAAGCTGGCCAACTTCATACTTGAGCGGGGGCAAGGGGAGCAAGTTGTAAGCTATATGTGTGCGAGCCATGGTCAAAGTATTGGTTTAGGCAGTTTAATGGGAAGTTATGGGAATATCATGTTTGTTGTTTGCTGTGGTATAACCTAAACACGGGAGTGTCCCAGCCCGGAATCGCACTCGCAGGCCTAATGGTGGTCTCCCATCCAAGAGCGCCATGTCTACATGGTAGGCTGGGCCGGTTGGCAACTAAGCCTGTCGTGAATGCCTATAGCGCAAGCAAACGCCAACGTCGCCTCCAGCTTGGTGAAACCGTTGAGACCTGACGGCCCGGAACATTCCCTGGCATTCGAGGCTGTATCTCGAGCGATGGGCGAGGTCAACACGCCTTCTATTGTCTGGGAGACGGATGCGTATGGTGTCTCGTCTCATTGCGATCCCACACCCCAGGAATAGATTTGGACAAGATCAGGTGGTCCCTTGAATGCAGATCGTGGAGGGGTTAAACATCGTTTGGAAGAGATTCGCCGGCTGGGCGTCTTCTCGCCTGTTGGCTTTATCAAATGCCGCGGGTATTTCATATACCAAGATCACAGTTGCATCATCTGGTGTCCCAGTCCACCATTCACTTCGAGCGTATCTCAATGGCAGCTTGGGCGACGAACCAGGGCAGCTCTCACCACACATCGCTGGGGTCCACCTCGTGCTTCTCGCCGTCGTCCCTCACATGTTGCCGCTTTACGTCCCTCTTCATGGGCTTGCGCATGTCGTAAGGCGTCCTCACTAGACAGGTTCGGGTCGGTTGAGTGTTCGCCGTAATAGTCCTTGACCACCCGAAAGACGCTGTAGCCCATGTTCTTGTAGAAAGTGATCGCCTTGTGATTGCTGACGCGCACAAACAGGTCGACGAACCAGGCATCGTTGGCATCGGCAGCCACTTCGAGCTGCTCCGTCAGCAGCTTCCCAATGCCGAGACGGCGAGCCTCCGGAGCGACGGTGACGGCAGTGATGTGGGCGTGCCAAGGAAGGTAGTGCTCTGAGAACTGATAAATCTCGGGCGAGGATTCAAGCTTCCCCATGACTGTAGCAATCAGCGGTCAGCAGCCCGAAGAGCAAGCGCAACAAAAGGACCTGTCCCTACTATAACCGATGATGTTGCCGTGCTGGTCCTCGGCGACCTGGAAGAGTGAGGGCCATTTCGCGTAGTACTGCAGGTAGAAGCCGAGCTCATACGTTTCCGTAAATGGATCGAGGTTGCATTTTGAGAGCTTGTTCAGGTCGTCGGGCCTGAACCTACGGAAGTTGGCCATGGCACGAGCAGAGGCTGCGTTGTGGGAGTTGTCGGCCTGGTTCGAGGGGAGCCTGCTTGGATATTTTGTTAACGAGGTTCGCAAGCGTTTGAGCGCACAAGGAGGGGCAGTGTGACCAAGGTCATTGTGGGGTCTGACAGCAGTTCTTGCTGGCTCCTTAATTGGTCAGCTTCTTGATTAACCCTGCATCTGCCCGCCCCTCCATCGGCCTGTTCCTGAAGACCACCTGAAGCTGAATCCGGTCATTCCGAGTTGGTTTTTTGCCCGTTTCTGGAAGCATCTAAACCGGCGTGGGGTCTGTAATTTTGAGCTCTGAGCTTCTTGAATGTTTTTGTTGTTTCTTCTCCTTTTTCTCAGCTTTTGATCTTAGGTGCAGAATTGGAAGGCTTGGTGCAGTAATTTGTACCACGCAAATTCATGCGAACCGTGGTCGTCGTCTCGTTAGAGGTGGGTACCCTGCCCATCTCGGTCCTGTAATCCCATCCCCTGGTCACCCCCCCACCGTCAGGCCGCTGTGCCGGCCCAGAAACGGGATTTGGAGTCTTGGACGCGGAATGCTACATGGCTTTTGAAGAAAAGAAAAACTGCGGCCCGACAACCGACCACTCACCGGGGGATTTGAAGCAAACATTCTCTGCTATTTTAAATCCCATTGCTTTGTCGACGTGACAACTACAACACGACGTTCCCTGCCTTGCGTTACCTCGCTCGCTGGGCCCTGTCATTGAAACAATCCGGGGTCAACCTCCGACACCAGCCCGTAATTTTCTTTCCATTAACACCCGGGACCGCCTGTCTACTATTGTGTTCGCCCGCCCAGCTATAGACCGCCAGGTCTGATATACCTTCGGTTTTCTACGAGTGTTTCTTCGCGGCTCACCGGCGATTCGTCATCCCTGCGCATAACCACGGCAACGAACAACTCCAAACGTCGAGTGACTCTAGCATCCCGCCCATTCATCATAACATCAACCCATCACATCGCGGTTGGGACCATCGGCCTACGGAGTGACGGGCAAATAATACCTTGCCAAACGTGGCAGCAACTTTTCAATTCGCAAGCTCAGCTCCCCGAACTCAATAATCCTCGATACAAACAGGCAGACCGCTAAAATGTCCTCCCCACGGACACCGCACCACTCGGCCCACCCTTCTCTCGATCACTCCGCCGCCTCCTTCGTCTCATACTCTCCACAAGAGCGCCGTCAATCCAAAGCCTCTTCATTCAATGAATCATCCGTGGACCTGGGACTGTCTAGTGGCGGCGGGATTAACGAGGCGGGAGGCGGAGGGCTGGGCAACCTGGCCGACGAACTAGCCGCTTTCTCCGACGAGGAGGATTACGACGGGTACGAAGAGGGGGACTACGATGAGGAAGCGGCGGACGATCAGGGTAGCGAAGGAGGGGCACCAGGGATAAGCCTCGATACTGCGGTCGACGACGCCAAGAAGGAGGAGGGGATCAGGGACAGCGGCGTGGACGTCGAGAGTCTATCAGGTTCCGGGAAAGGGCACAGCTCCAAGGGGAGTCTAGCGCTCCCAACGCCGAACGGGCGGGGGCATAGGAGGAAGGGCAGCGAGTACGACGGCAGCGAGTACGGGAGCGAGTCTGACCTCGAGTCACCCGGGATGCCATCCAAACTCGTAGAGCAGATGGACGAGGTCGAGTCGCTTGCCCGCCGGGGGACAGAAAGGAACGGCTCTTCCACCGACGGCACATTCAAGCGCGTAACCGACGGTCTCCGCGACCTCGGCTCCCAAGCCAACGTCGAAGGCGGCGCCACCCGGTAAGCCAACCCCATTCCCTTCTCTCACCCACACCCCCCCTTCCATCCCCGACTAACCAACCACCCCTCTCACCAGATTAATAACCGCGCACTCCGCCCTCACCACCCACCTCACCCACCAAACCCGCCAACTGCACAACCTCACCTTCCCCCTCCTCTCCCCCCTCGCCGCCCCCCCCCACCGAAGAGACCCTCGAAACCCTCCTCCCCATGCTCCTCACCCTGACGGACAGCATGCCGCGCCCCAGCACCAGCGCCCTACAATCCCTGTCCTCCCTACACACCCTCACCGCCGACCTGGTTCAAACCCTCAACTACCTCTCCGACACGCTGCACATGTCGCGCCAGACGACGACCACCGCCACGCGCCGCCTGCGCGCCGCCCGCGAGACGGTCGCCGAGCTGCGCCGCGACGAGGAGCTGCGCGAGGAGGGCGAGCGCTGGCTCGATCGCGGCGGCTGGGGCGAGCGCCTGCAGCGCCGCGAGTGCGCGCTCGTGTGTGGCGACGTCGTGGGCGGGTTCGAGAAGGTCTGCGATGATTGGCGCGAGAGGCTGGTCAGTCGGCTGCAGCTGGAGGAGGCGGGGCAGGCTTGATCTTGGTTCTTTAGACGGTCGAGTTGTTGTGGGTTGGGAGGGGGTGAAAAGGGGGTTCGGGCTGGAGGGAGGGAAGCGTCGTCGTCTTCTTTGTTTTGCTTGTGGTGCTTTTTTTTGGGCGGATGGGATGCATATACGACGGTGCGATGCGAGCGGCGGCGGCGGCGGGGATGGGATAATGAATGGTCTGATACACACACATATACATATACCATAACGGCGTTTTGGGAAGGTCGATGGAGCGAAGGGAGACATGGCGACGGCACAGGTCTGGTGGTATCAAGAGCGAGGGGTATCGCGTCCTTGTGGACGGGTGGTTGTTGTGTTGGCATAGAACGGCAGGATTAGATTTCACGACTGTGTTATTGGCAGGCCAAGTTGGCTGCGCTAGACACTCGGGTAGATGAGTAATGAGATTACAGATGTGGCCGTTGACATCCTCCGATGAGTTGGGACCGGGACGGTTGACTATTGACCCTACTGCGTGATATTTCTGAGTCTGGCAAGCCGAAAGGCCAGAACTACAGGTCAATGACAGACAATCGAACCTCGACACATCAATCAAACCGAGCATGCAATTGTGAAAGAGATCTATGCGATATCTATGACAAGCCTAAGCTGGTCCAAGATCTACCCATCTCAATCAATCCGACTCTTCACCCGACCCCGACCCCTCAGATCCATCCTCCATCTCCTCGTCTTCGTCATCTTCCTCCTCCTCCTCCTCTTCCTCCTCATCCGCCTTCAGCCCATAGTCGTTATAAAAATGCGACAGCGTCTGCACCTGGGTCTTGTACCCAGCAGTACCAAGCGCCTTGACCATGTTCTGTATCATCAAACCGTTAGTTAGCCGTTTCTATCCATCCTAACCGCCGCAAAAGAAGAACTCGAAAGCAAGAACTCACCTCCTCCATGATCGGCGCGCACGTCACCACCACGTTACTCTTCCCCGGCTCAAACACAGGCATGATAACCTCCCTCATAACAGCGCGGATCTCATCCTCCGTCACATCCCTCACGCGCGCCAGGATCTTGCGGTTCCATCCAGGCTCCAGGCCCCGGACAACACCAACAACATAGTTCTGCTGTGCGGCAGCAGCCATGGTAGCCTGCTCATCAGCAGCGCCAAACACAACCCCACTAACGGCGCCCTCGACCAGGTGGCGGTCGAGGGGCACCTCGCCCGACGCCAGCTTGGCGACGGTGGCGCGGCTGGCCTCGATGGCCTTGCTGGCGTCGGGGGAGCGGTAGACGCGGAACTGGATGTAGCCGGCGTCAACCTCGCGCGAGAAGGACACGCCGTAAGCGAGGCCGTTGCCGCGGACGGCGTTCCACAGCGGGCCCTCGACCGCCTCGAGGTAGCCGAGCGCGACCAGGTACGCCGGCAGCCGCGGGTCCGAGTACGACGTGAAGCCCGTCGCCGTGCTAACGCTGTACGAGCTGTCGAGCGTCGTCATGGGGATGACGACGCTGCCGAAGACGCCGGGCTTCTGGCCCTCCGGGCTGAGCAGCGAGAAGAGCTTGGTGAGGGGGATGACGTCCTTGGTTGGGTTGAGGTGGGGGTTTTTGGTGAGGGCGTCCCAGGCGGCGACGGGGTTGTCGAGTTTGGCGATGTCCGCGGTCACGAGGACCCGCATGTTGTCGAAGGTGAAGAGGCTCTTGCGCAGCTCTTCGAACCACGAGACCACGGTTTCGGGCTCCTTTTCGATCAGCTTCTTCAGGCGGCGCAGATACACGGCCTTGACCAGCGTCCGTTTCGCCGCGAGGTACGACTCGGGCTCGAAGTGGATGGCTATCTCGACCTCGTGAGCCATAATGCGTCCATCTCGCTTCGCCTCCGGGATATCCGCAAGCGCCTTGACAATGGCCGCCTTGATCCTGACAGGGTCAAAGATGATGTCGAACATCAGGGTTCGCAGCCAGCTGATGATGGTAGTGTATTTCTCGCGGTCGAGCCGGAACTGGATGGCCACACCCTCGTAGTCGCCCAACCGGGAAGACGAGCTGATGTGGTAGCTGATCGTATCCTTCTCTAGTTGCTTGACCACTTCCTCGAACTCGATACGCTGGCCATCCTTTGTCACCGGGGAGTTGAAGAAGATGTCGGCGAACAGAGGTAGGAGCGGCTTGTACTTGATAGGGGTCTGCGACATGCCCAGGTGGACAGTAAGGTGCACAAAACCGGTGGGAACATCCTCGAACTGCACAAACAGCGGCAGTCCTTGGGGTGCTGCGTCGATGGCTTTCTGAGCGGCGTTATCCAACACGCCCAAATTCCGAGCATTGCCCGACCTCGCCGTTTCAGACTCGATGAAGTGGATAGATGTGGTGCCGGGAACTGGCCACTGATCGAGCACATCGGGCGGAATCGGCTTGTCGTTGTTCTTCTTGGCGTTCTCGAGCTTCTCGCTCAGCTTCTCTAGACCTTCTTTACCGAGCTCCTCCTTCCTCTTGGCCAGCCGCGCCTCCTCGTTCGCCTTGAGGGTTTTGGCGAGCTCCATGGACGGCTTGCCCAAGATGGAGATGTGGTTGGCATCTGAGATCCATTTCTTCAAGAATTCTCGCCATTGATCTTCGGTCCAGCCATCAAGGATATCGTACTCGCTCAGTGAAGATAGTTCCTTCAAGGTCGCACCATTGCGCTTCCCAAAGAGGTAGTCGGTAATGATATTAGTGGCGTAGAATCCCTCCGAGCCTTCAGCTTGGAGCTTCACTTGACGTTTCTCGCGCTGCAGGCACTCTTTGATGTAACCCATATCAAGGGGCTTCGATGCGACCTCCTTGAGAAGATTGATGAGGCGTTGCTCAACAAAGGCGAGCTTCTCGGTAGCCACACCAGTTGGCTGGAACCAGATAACCGAGTTTGGCCTGCTGTCCCACCAGTATGAAACTGAGCTCGCAAGGTGCTCCTTCTCGACCATGACGTTCTCGATGACCGATACGGACGATCCGCAAAGATATGTCATGATAATGTTCACGGCTGTCCCCTCGATCTGGTCGATGCAGCTGGGGCCGAAGAAAGCCACCACGATCTCACCCGTCGACTCGTCTTCTTCGGGAAACTCGACCGTCTCGACGATGGTCTTCTCTAGTGGCGGCGGCTGGGCTGAATCCACAAAAGGGCGCTTGAAGTGGGGATCCGGAGGTGGGATGTCATCCTTGATGCTTTCCTCGAAGTCGTCCAGTATCCTCAAGAGGTCGTCGTGGTCAGCTTCGCCGATGATAACGATGGCGAGATTCTGAGGCTGGTACATAGCCTTGTGGAACTCTCGGATACGTTGTGGGGTCAGAACTCTGAGTGCTTCCATCATGCCACCGGTCTCGTATCTAAACCCAATGTTTTCCGGGTATAGCAGTCGGCGAGCCCGCAGATCCATGAGCTCGTTGCTGCTGTATTGAAGAGCCTGCATCTCGGAGTAGACGACACCAGCATCATTACCCTCGCCATCAATATGGTGGACCTCGGTCACGCAGGCATCGTCAGTGATGTTGGGGACGACAACATGTTCGAGGTAGACGGGGAGGATCTGGGCGAAGCCCTCCCACCCTGCCGTCTCGAGCGTGTAGGCTGTGTGGTCGACGGCGGTCCAGGCGTTGGTGTTGGAATAAGCTCGGCCGGCCAACTTGTCCAGCAGTCCCTTATATTTGTAGCTCTTGGAGCCCATAAAGACAAGATGCTCGAGGGTGTGGGGAGCGCCCGAGTCGTCAAAGATCTCGGTGGCTAGGGTGAAGTAGCCGTTGATCTTGGGCCCTTTGCGGTCGGCCACAATGACCTGCATGCCGCTTCTCTCCGACTCATACTGGGTGATGGTCGTCGGGGCATAGTCGGTGCGGAAGCTCTGGACCTTGCGGAACCGGGGTCTCTGTTGGGCGGTCATGTTCCGGCCTGTCACTAATTGCATGAGACCCTGAAGGTAACTAGGGGATATGTTAGCAGTTGAGCAGCAAGGTTACATTTTGTCCGCTAGAAAGCTGTCCATCCGCTTGTCGTTGACCTCTCATCGCCGGGGTTCAAGCGACAACGACAGCAACAGCAAAAGTTCGCTATAAAGCATACCCGAAGTCCAACGACTGCTCCGGGGTATCCCGTGCCGAGACGACTCTGCTGATCGTGAACGCGAGCCACAGGAGCAGTGTCCGTAACATGAAGCTCTGGGAAGGCATCTCGCCGTGGTATAAGAGATGGCAGGCAGTATGGTCATCGGAGAAGGTGAGGTGGGAGATAGGAAGCCATAAGCAGGAGAGCGAAGGGGATGATGAGGCTTTGGGGTGGACAAGTGCCTCATGCCATGAAGAGTTGACGATAATGATTCTGCCGGGGAACCATAGATATCCTTGTCTCACCAAATGTGATATGCTATGGCGACATGATGTGGATAGATAGATGGATAGAGGCTGACAGACAGACGTACGTACCGGGTTGGTGAATGCAGGCTGCCAGCAAAGGGTCGCCTTGCTGCCTGGCCGAAGAGTTGAAGACCAATAGCGGTGTAGCTGCGTCCTTGCAGCTGATCGCTCTGGACAGTGGGATATGGGAAATCGTCGGGGGCCAAGGTTCAGGTCTGTCGGGCTCTCGGTCGATTAGTTGTTGTGTGCGGGGAGTTGTGTGATTTTAGTTAACTTTCTCTTTTTTTTTTTTTTTTTCCTTTTTCCTTTTTCGGAGACTTGAATAAACGTGGAAACACAGTAATGGTTTCAAATTTTCGTCACAGTTCCCATTTCTGTAAGAGGTCGTAAAATGTCTTACCGAGCACGGCAGTTGTAGCTCATGGACAGCCAACAGAAGGCGCACCTATCCACACCCAGTTGCGGCCCTGTTGGTTGTTGTACGGTGTAATCGTGAATCCCTGAATGGCGGGGCAGCGGCCGCCAGGGTGTGTGCCCCGCCATGTCAGCTCGCAGTGAGGGTCCACAACCACGGCGTCGGTGGTCACAGATTTGGGCTGGGATGGTATCTGATAGAGAACTGGTTCCCGATTGGCGCCAGATCCGAGACGAAAAGTGGCAGACCGGATGAGGGTCGGTATAGTGCGGCCCAAGACGACTTGCTATTGCGATGGCCGTTGATGACTAGGTAGCGATGGCTACCTACGTAATGGGTGACAGTGCTAGGGTATATTCACATTCGCAGACAAGCATATGCAAGTGACTTGGGCAAGGTTCGTAAAATTCACCACACACTTAACATGTTAAATAGGGTATCAAGACAACCACGAGGTCGATTTTTGGTCTGGTCTATATCGCGAGCTCTTTCTGAGAGCAAGCTAAGGGCGCTCGTCGGGAGAGCTGAGCTCTCTAACCCGGTGTCCCTCCCCAGAATCTGTCGTCAAATCCCTCGGCGTCCACCTTATGATGACATCCCAGAGCAGCGGACGACGTTTAGTGGCCGGCACGGCGAGACTCGGCGATGACACGGTTCATGTCCTCAACCTTCGCCTTGGCACGGCCGAAGGTGCCCAGCTGGTGGGTGGTTAGCGGTAATTCGGCAAAGAAAGCCATCGAGCACTCTTACCTTCTTCTTGGCGAGCTTACGGGCACGCTTGTCCTTGCTGTTGCGGAGAAGTTCGATGATGCGGCGCTCATAGGGAGCAAGGCTATTGCGTCGTCGTTAGTCACCCTCCAATTCACCCATGAAATGGTGTAGAAAAGAAAACGTACCCAGCGACCTCCTTGACGAGCTCGCGGACGAAAGAAGTCCGCTTGCTAAGGTGGCCCTTGGTGCGGCTCACACGCGGCTTGCTGACGCGGGCGGTGGTCTTCTGTATTCGGGGAAGAGCGAACATATCAGCCAAGGTCCATCATCCGCGGATATGCTTCGATATATCCCCGAGAGGATGAAGCAAGTGCGGAGATCCTCCACGAGGTGAGACAAGAAGGCTTATCTTACGTGGCCCTTGTTGAGACCCTGCGAAATCGCGAGTTAGCATTTTTGCGGTTTGGAGATGTGCAGAACCACGAGAAACAATTGAAGCTGCGCAAGATCGCGCAACTCCGAACTGCGATAGAAAAAAGAATCAAAACTTACGGTTGCCAGCCCGGTGCGGGGAGTCTCGTTCTTAGAAGCGGCCATTGTGACTGGTGATGCCGTGGTGATTGTCGTCGTGACGCTGAGCGGGAAAGGAGAGGAATAGAATTCGAGGTTTAGTTTTGTGGGTTGCAGGGCAAAAGTTCGAATAAAGTGGAGCTGCGTAGCCAGCTGGCATCAGCTGTATTTTGAGCATTGTCGGCCCGGGTTTGGTGGGGCTTCTCCAACGGCCCAAAGCAGGAGGGGCAGGGGTTCGGTTCGATCTTTGGGCCATGGAAGCCAAGAGTTGAAGCTTTGACACCGACTTCCAATTGGAGACAGCTTTGAACTTCGGAACCTTGGAACCTTGGAACCTTTGACAGGAACAACAACTTAACCTACTCGGACTTACCTCACCAAGGCCAACTCGAAGCGCTTGCGAAACGGTCGGCTGAACGGCAGTAATATATGGGTATCTGTTGCCGAAGTTACAACCAACTGCGGAACGCCGTAACTTGGTCGAGAGCGCCAACTCTCCAACGGTAGTCAGGTGTAAAGGTGCAGGAGGGGCCTGGCTTAAAGTGGCCTCAACTCGACAAGTTATCCCCGGCTTCGCTGGCGCCACGCTCCGAACAACGTACCTCCCAAACTAGCCATGGAAACTCCCGATCCGCCAGCCGCGCATATGGCGCAAGCCCTCGTCGATTTCTCTCTTTTCGGTGCGTTCCCCGAAGACGCTGTCTCGTCACTACCCATCAACGCCGAATCCCTACCCACGGCCATCAAGGCACTCGCAGACGCCAAGGCAAAGCTTCAGGTACGAGCCTACACATATTGAGAGCTGGGCGCATTCTAAGCATCCTCTTGCGCAGGCCGAAATACATGCTATCAGCGAGGAAACAGCCGACGACGTGAGAACCTGGCAAACGAATGCGCAATCCGTCCAGGACGACATCCTCCGATCCAAAGCTCTCGCGGCCGAGATAGTTAAGGCCTCCGAGACCCCTGCCGTGTCAGGACGTACAGTAGACGAGATCGAAGCGAAAGCCGACTTCCTGATTCGCGAGCTGAACTACAATGCCCAAGTCCACGAGACACTCAAGGGAATCAAAACCGTGAATCAGACCCTCGATGAGGTTGAGCAGGCGCGGGATGAACGGCGCATTCTAGATGCACTACACCTACTTGAAAGTGAGCAATGCGCCTATGAGCTTCGCTGGGCGCTGCTAATGTCCCCTAGAGTCCTGGAAGCAACTAGATGTCGTAGGAGTGAACAGGACCTGCCGTGCCGTCAAGCTCCTCGACATCAGGGCGTTCGAACTGAAATCAGATGTTCATGATGTGTTTGATCATGTGTGGAACGCACTTATCAATGTCGATGCGGAGAGCCAGAGGGTCTCAATAAGCAGTAGTCGAGAAGGTGAGTCTTGCCGATGCTGATTGTTCGTAGACGGCTCTGACCTGTGTAGATGAGCCAATGAGCCTCGAAAACGCCGTAATAGGTTTGAGGGCATACAATGAGGTGGATGAACGCATGAGCCGCCTCTGGCAGGACATCAACAAAGCGATCCTGCTTCCGAGGATGGATATCAGCAAGGAAACTTTGCCTAGCATCCACATTCAAGATGTGAGTGGACCAATGTCTTCAATCATCACCTACTCACATCACTACAGGGCGCACTTGAACTACGAGGCTCGTCAGACAAAACCTTTCAATCTCTCTTTGCAGACCTCGAGCAGGTCTTCTCTTTCCTAGTCCAGCGGCTACCCCCTGACCTTATCGATACTATCTCGGCCACCCTACTACCAGAAACAATACACAGTATTACCAGTGTCTGGCTGGACTCAGCCGTACCATCATCTCTCCGGGACATGGATAAGTTCCAAGAGGTCATTGAAGCTGCCAAAGCCTTCTGCGCAAGATTAAAAGCACTTGGTTTCACTAACCTCGGTGGTCTGCAAGAATGGGCGGACAATGCGCCGAAGGTGTGGCTCGCAAAATGCAGAGAAGCTGCGCTAGATTCTATGCGGATCAAGCTTTCTCGAGGTCTCGGGGCCCCGAAGCGGGTGGAAAAGGTAGAGAAACAGATGGTTTCGAAGTCAGAAGGCCAGCAATTGGTCGCTAATGGTGCTGTCGCTTCTGCTGACGACCACGGCTGGGACGCTTGGGATGATGGCGAGCAGGTGGTCCCAGAAGAAACAACAACCAACAAAACTGATGAGCCCCCGGATGGCGATGACGACGGTGCCGATGCGTGGGGTTGGGGAGAGGAGGAGGCCACAACAGAGGAACCGAGCGTGAAAGCTGCGGCGGTACCTAGCGAGAAAGAACCAGACGAGGAAGAAGACCCGTCGGAAGCTTGGGGATGGGGTGACGAAGGCGGCGCCGATGAAGCCGAAACTGCAGACAACCCTACAGCGCCGCGATCAGAACCACAGACCCGAGAGTTGGTCCTGAAAGAGACTTACAGCATCTCTTCCACGCCGCAGCCAGTTCTAGACTTGATATTTGCGATAGTCGAAGACGGTGCCGCCTTGACGCATGACAGCCACGCGAACAGCCCGGTCGCAGCTCAAGCAGCAGGGCTGTTCAGTCTTCCCACGCTCGTCCTAGCCATATTTCGGGCCATTTCACCTCACTATTACTCTCCGGGGATCGGTGGCAATATGCAAGTCGGACTCCAAGTAACGATGAACTCACGCTAATGGCCCTAGGTATCTCTACAACGACGCAGCCTACCTAGCAGAGCAGCTCTCTGAATTTGCCACAACCTGGAAGACACGCAGCGACATCAGCACGCGAGCTCAAAACATGCTACGACTGGACAACGACATCAAATCCCTACAATCTTTTGCCAACCGCGCCTACACCAACGAACTCTCCATCCAGAAAACGGTCCTGCGTGACCTATTAGGCGGTAAGCTGCCCTCCCCTTTATACCCCCATCTATCCTCTCCCGCCCACCCCCACCTCTCCAAGTACTAACCTCCCATCCCCACACACCCAGGCGAACAAAACCTCCTGCACCAACCCGACACCGCATCCGCCGTCTCCTCGGCCACAGCCCACGCCCGCTCCCTCGCCACGGCCTGGGAGGACATCCTCGCGCGCTCCGTCTGGCAGCAGGCGGTCGGCAGCCTGGTCGACGCCGTCGCCGCCAAGATGATCGCCGACGTCATGGACCTGCCCTCCATCGGCCAGGACGAGGCCTACAACATCGCAGGGCTGATCTCGTCCGTCGAGGAGCTCGATGATTTGTTCCTGCCGAGTCGGTTGGCGGCGGCATCGGGTTCCCAACGGGGGGTGATGAAGAAAGTGGAGGGCGAGGTACCTGTGACGGCGCAGTTTGCGGGGAACTGGTTGCGGCTGAAGTATCTTAGTGAGGTGCTGCAGAGTAACTTGAAGGATGTGCGGTTCTTGTGGGTGGAAGGGGAGCTGAGCTTGTATTTTACGGCGGAGGAGGTGGTGGATTTGGTGAAGGTGAGCTTTGAGGATAATGTGAGGACGAGGGAGGTGATTCGTGAGATTAGAGGGAATGTGCAGCCGTTGGGGGTGTGAAGGCGGGGGTGGAGAGGGTGTGGTTGATGGGGTTGTGAAATTGGACGGCAATGGATCCTTTACAGCAATTGCGTGGATATAATCGCTGTTGGATTGAGCCGTTTCGCTTTGAGGGTTTCTTTTTTTTGGTGTCGCTGGTCATTCGAGTTGGTCGAATGCCGTTTGTTTACTTACCCCTGAATCCAGAGCCTCGGCTAGCTATTCCCGAGCCTCAGATGTTTGTTTCCACCACAACTGCTTTGGGTTGCCCTGCATTACAACAGCACGCGACCTCCTGCAAAGAGAGAATTGGCAATATCCGGCCTCATTTTTTTGCACTACCGCGGTTACCGCGACTCGACAACGCAGCAATCCCCGAATACAGAGAAGACCGCATCCCCAATACGACGTTGCAGCTGTATGTCTTGCGGTCGCCCTGTCCGTGGCCTGCAGACGGCACAGTCCGGAATGCACACGGCGAGGCAAATGGATATGCAGTCTGCCACACTCGGTCTCTCGCCGGTCTCATTCCTTGGCCTCGTTTGTTTACACTCTGCAGGGCTGCCTTCTTCTGGCCGCCTACTCAGGGCGTGCATATGGGTTTTCCCTGTTTCCATTCCGAGTTGATAGGCAACGGCGCGATTGCTCCTTTTTTTTTATTGCGGCCGCCCTTCGCCGGCTTCCATCGCCCGCTATTGTGGCGGCGCCAAGTCATGCATGGCTGGTGCCTCATCCCTCGTGTCGGGAAGCAGAGGAGGGGGGGTCAGGCCACGCTCACGGTACCTGGCTGTACATACATGGACAAGTACCCGGTTTGCGAGAGCAAGGGGGGGATGGGGAAGGCGGAGCCGAGGCTGGAGTGCCGATGCTGTCAGGTACTTTCGGTGATCGGGCCGGGCTGATGGGGAGAGGTAAGGTCTGTCTTGGTTTCTGCGGCTCGGATTGGGTGTGATCGGTGATGGGATTCTGCACGGCATATTAAGGCGTAGCGTGGCATGGTGGACTAATGGTCTCGGAGGGCCGGGGGAGGTTTTGGGGAGACCGGTGAGGCGTGGTGGCGTATGGTCTGGGCTCTGGACAAACTACATTTACGGCAGGGGCGTGGAACAGGGATGGGGGGTGGTTGTTTGCTTTGCCCATCAGTCTGTTTCCGTTCTCCCGCTTCGGCTGCCTGTACAGTATCCGCCCACTACCGAGTCTTCGGGTCAAGTAGCTTGAGTAGCGCTTTGGCAGCGGGTTCTTGGCTTCTCGCATTTCTTGTCTATCAAAAATACAAATTATGGTGGCTAAGCTAAAGTCATTGTTCGCCTCGGAACCGAGACTAAGAATAGAAGACTCAACGAACGCCCCCTACTTTTGGTCCTTGATTATTGGATCAACAAACACCACTTCTACGCAGACCTCGTCGATCAACAAGCCACATTCAACAGATCGGGCAAACTGTTCAGAGCCAAGGCTTGTGTGACCCGAGACAGCGGGGCAACGAGACGACGTTGGCTCCTGCATCCAAGAAAGAGGCGAAGGATTGAACTAGAGAACCGAGACACAGACTAAGCTGGCATGTGAGCAAGGGGCTAAACGTATTTGCAACGAGCAAGAGGCGCTGAGGGGGCTCTCGTGAGACAAAGCCACTGGATTCGGAAGCACATGGATATGGACATGCGATGGATCGGACATCGAGAAGTCATCTTTTGCCGTGACGGTGATGGGATGGAGTGGGCCTGATCAAAAGCATGCTCCTGCGTCATGTCTCAACGCTCGTCCCTCCAGGAGCGGCTCAGCCTGACCGCAGAAAAAAGGAGCCGTGTCTCACTTGCGCGTACAGCATTGGCTAAGGGGAATACAAGCGCATTTTACCACGCCCGACTCCTGTGTCGGTTCCCGCAACCCCTGTCCATGTACATACATACGCGTTGCTATTGTCTTCACTTGACAGGCTTGGGAGTGGCGCCAGACGAGTTCCGTATATTGATGTCTCAGCCTGCTTTGGCTTCTCAACTCTCCTGTTGTATGGACACTGCATGTGCATGTACATACCAGAAGAATCTCGGCTCAAAGCGAGCTCTTCTCGCTCACCGGTCTCTGACCGATCAAATTTACGACACGAAAGGTCAAACATTGATCGATCCTTGCCTATATCAAGGGCCTTGCTAGGCGCGCACCCCCCAAAATTGCTGCGCGCGCACCCCCCGCCCAGAATTGCTAGGCGCGCACCCTGCAGGGTTAGGGTCAGAGGTTCAACATCGCCAACCCGCAATCAACACAGGTAAGCTGCATAGCAAAAACATGTTTTCTACGGCTAATCTGACCGTTCTAGAATGCTAGGAACCCACCAGAATGTCGCAAAACCCTCGCGCGGTCGAGCCGCAGGTGCTCGAACAACCTGCACCAGCCCTGCCGCTCGCCACAGAGTTTTCGGCTGCAGGCGAGGATTCTGACGAATACGACGATATCGATCTTCTTATCCTCCAGCCAATCGACCTCACAGAATCGGAGACCCTACCTCACCACCTCGCCCAACGCAACACCACGCTAATTCATTTGTTTTAGTTGCGACCATATAAACCCTAATCCTTTGGGCGGGGAGGGGGTGCACGCCTAGCAATTTCGGGCGGGGTGCGCGCGCAGCAATTTTGGGGGGTGCGCGCCTAGCAAGTCCCTATATCAATGAGCTTTTCATTTGTTGCGTGCTGGCCGGTGAGGCACCCACGTTATGGGCGTCGAGTGTCTCAATGTCGTGTAAGCAAGCAGTGTAATTGATCCGTCAATGACACCGATCTCAAATATGGAAGCTGTACAGTGTAACTGACGCTGTCCTTTCTCCTAAATCCCGCATGTCGTGATCTTGAAAAGGGGGTTGTTTGTCACACGCAATACTCGGTTAGAAACTAACGGGAAATCCGCATCAGATTAGATGAAGTACTTCTCAAAGTCCTGCTCCCTGGCATACTAAGTTCTGAGACGTCAACACTGATGTCGAGAAACGTGACTTATCACGTCACTTCGCCACAACACATACGTGGACATGCTAGGTCGGAGATCGTCCAAGACGGGAATATCAATCCGGCTGATCACCCCCCGAAAGAAGCAAACTAGGGCAACACGAGATGCATATGCAGCACCAGAACGTCGATGAGGCAGGAAAGCCCAGACGAGGCAACCAAATCTCACGAGGCACCTGAGGAGTGCATGACATCTGCACTTGACACAGACCGTGATAGGTCTCGCCCTGCCAAAAACCCCCGAGGCAACCGACTGTGTCCGGGTTGTCCCCTGTTACCTCTCGCTTATCTGAAGCTCTCTTCCAAAGTGCAGCGATGCTAACCGTGTACGTCTAAGCACCAGCTGATCCTCAACGATCCCCACCTCGCGGCGACAAAAGATGCCGTGTGCGACTGAGCGACAGAGCCAAGGCGGATAACCGCAGGCAGGCCACACATCGAGGCGGCAGGCGGCATGTCAGTTGTAGCCGAGCAAGCAGGAGGAGCTGGCAATGCCGTGGTACATGACGCCTTCACACGTCTCTCACCAAACTGCTGTCTGCTGTCACCCAAAGCTCTCGGCGAGCTCGGCGAGACGGGGGTCGAGTTTGCTTGGCCGGCCGGCCCTGGTCGGGTTTGTTAACGATTCTCTTATCGACGCGGAACGGCGGTGTGTAGTTGTATACCCCAAGTCGACGACAATCCCCGTCCCGAATCCAGGGCAGGTCACCGGGATAGGATCGAGCACGATCATGAAATGCACAACCACATATCTCCCACCCACTCACTCTACTCACCTTGATGGCCACACCGCCAAGGTCCCACCGTCTGCAGAGTCTTTGCATATCATCACATCCCCCTCTCCATCCCATCCTCCTATCCACATGCCGGTATATAACACACTAACACACAGTATAACACGCCCCATCGGGGCAAGTTACACTCTTACACTCCATAGGTACTTACTCCCGGCCCGACTACACACTAAACCTCCCACCTCGTCAGATGACGCGTCCAGTGACCAAGTTGCGTGACATCCAAGTTACTGAGAACGAACAAAACGGATATCATATCAGCCCCAACTAACACTAACACCCACACTAACGCCATCACGGGGATGATGGCGCTTGTTATATCTCACCCCTGCCTGGCCCTTGTGACACCCCAGTCAGCCCAGCCCAGCCCAGCCCAGCCCAGCCCAGCCCAGCCAGTGCCAGGGCCGTGACCCAACCCCCAGCAGTTACCGGTCCCGAATGAAATGGGGGTGCCCATGGTTTGGGGTAAACAAGCCATGAGAGGTGTGGGATGGGTGTGTGTGCGAGAAGAGAAGGGCGGGTGCACAAAGAGGCCCGTCTCGGAAGTAGCCGAGCGTGTGAGCCAGGGAAGCAGGGGAAGGGAGGGGGGAGGCCCATGGACAGGGCCGGGCCAGGGCCAGCCAGGGGCATGTTGGAGGCTCGAGGTTTCTGCTGTTGTTTGATGTCAAACTCTTCTACGCTAGGGGCGGTATGTTGTGTATTGTGTTGTCGTACAGAGAAAGTAAAGTGTACGAATGCCCACAAGGCAGCCGAATAAGCCGGTTGCGAGGCACGGCGCGGCTTAGATCGAGTCAGATAGGCAGACGCGGATTTCTATTTTCCGATTTTCCACTCCCCCTCCTTGTGCGCAACCTATCTGCTCAGGTGCGCGTGTGCGTTCATGCGTTGCGTGTGTTATCGTCTTGCGTGGCTGTCATGGTAGAGTCGTATCATCGTATCACATTATCAGCCATCTGAAAAAAAAAACGCGCTGGCTGGATGTGGGTTGAGTGTCAGGTTAAGTCAGGTTGGGAAGCTGACAATGCGGGCAGTCGTCGCCCGGAAGGAGATGCCCCATCCATTTCCACTCAGCCCAATCTTGGTTGCCCAGCAGGGTGAGGTACCCGTACCACCCTCTACTGACAGCGTACGAACCAGCCAACCAACTGACCAACCAACCAACTGACCAACCAACCAACTAGCCAACCATTCACCCCGCCAGCCAGCCAGCCACGCAGACGGCTTTGCATATGTCACCCAGTCATCGCCGATAGAGGGAAGCCGCTCCATAGGCAGAGGCAGAGGCAGGGTGGCATTGGGAAAGCATAAAAAACTGCTCTTCTGCGATATGCGTGGCTGAAAGGACCGACCGAGCGGGCAAAGCAACCGACTGACTGACTGACTGACTGACTGAATGATTGGCAGATGAGACTGCAGGCTGACTGACACTCGGGTATCCCACCAATGTGCCAAAGGGTACACATACCAACCGCCGACGTCACCCCGTTGGCGGCGCAGTCAGGCTTCAGCCGTGGAAGCGGGTAAAGAACGAAAAGAAGCCCTCACTCTCTCCTAAGATCGACGATCTGTGCCATGGAAGTGGAGCGATTGGTATGGGTTAGTTGACCTATTGTTCGGAATTCCCAAGGATTCGGATTGGGAGGAAGCGAGGAAAAAATAGGGGGGTGGGAGGGTGAAACATGGCCGGGAGGGACGGGTGATGGGCGGAGGGTATGGAAGCACCTCATCGACACTGCCTCATGTGATCTCTTCCCGCCTTATTTTCTTATCTTCCTTTCTTCCTTTCATTCTTCTCTCGTCATCGCGGAGGCTTCCTCCCGTCTGATACCGCTCTGGAATGGTTTGCGCTATCCCGCGGGGCGCGAGTGAGAATTTGCTGATTCTTTTGATGGGGCTGCGAAAGTCCGAGTTGAAGGTTTGCAATGGAACCCAGCCAGCCATGCAGATGCAGCTGGTAATCTGTGCGTTACGTGCTCGGGTTACACAAAGACAAGGTCTGGGTGGCGGTTATTGGGCGTTGGGTTTCGGTGAAGGGGAGAGAACTCAGCTGAAATGGAGTTGCGGTGAGCAGGACTGGTTCACAATCGAGGCCTTAGATTGAGCAATTGATGGTTTTTCTCCCGTGATCGTCGTTGCCACCCAGGGGAAATGAGAATGAGATGTGGTTGTTTCACTTGGGAGTACAAAGTTGGGAGGATGGGAGCGCCACCAACAACATGCTTACAACAACATCAACGCGCTTATGGGCCACTCAACACCCGTGAAGAATCGCCCCCAAAAGGGTCAAACCGCAGCAGGGATCGACCTTGAGGCTGTTTCGAAAAGGCCAGTACATATCAATAGCACCAAAACATCCATCTCCAAAAGAAAAAGCGAGGCTTGCCAAGATGTAGGTCCCGCTAAGAGGGGTGTCTATAGGTGATGTGAGCATGCATGCCGAGGCAGCGACCTACCTAGGTACTACAGGTCCACGGACAAGTAGCGTCACTCTTCGGTACAAAGGCTAGATATGTAGGTCCGGTTTGTAAAAGTTCGACGCAGTCAGCCGTCAAGCCACGTCCGCATGGGCGATCGGAGGGTCAGGGGGCTGAGGTAGACGACCCTAAGCAGCCGTTCATGCTTGGAGTCGTTGCCGTTTTGGGGCTGGCGCAGGAAGTGAAGGGGTACATGTCCGTTCGAGGTGATGAGTCCCCCCTCGGTTGTCCGAGAAGGTTTGAACGCCCGGTCGGCCCGGCCTAGGGCTGGAAAGACTTGTGAGCTGTCACTCGCTGACCCGAGCACACCCACGACATATGCACGGTCTTGCATGGGAGGTGGGGAAGACCGCACCCTTGGGGTTGAATTCTTCGGCCCGCAGGCTGGCTGGCTTCTAAGCGAAGCCGGCGAGGGTTTTAATTTGGGACCTTGTCTTTTCGTGACCAACTGTTGGGGAGGGGGTGAGGCGTTGAGGGATTGGTTTGCTTTACGTCCTCGAAGCAAAGGTTAGATGGAGAGTTGTGTGTGCAGGTGACAGACTTTGTGTGTATATGTGACTTGACCTCTGTCTCCGCTTCGAAAGGGGAAATTGTCGTTTGAAGCTTTGAACTCCCTCACACGTCTATACATGCCTAGGTAGATGGATGTCACCATACTAAGCTCAGTACCGACAGCGATGTTAGCAGACATGGTAGGCACGGTACTTGACTTGGTATTTCGGTAGAACCTGAGCTAGGCACCTCTAGTCTCCGTGTCCTCGGGGTTGCCTCGATCCTCGATCGGTCTCCGGGTCCTGGAGAGCCCGAGAAACCCCAAGAGAGGATCGGGTTACGCACCCAGAACCAAATTAAGCTCGTGCATCTTCACCACCTCCGCGTGTTTGGTCACACCATAGGTAGGTAGCTACCGTCGTCAAAAAGGTGAGGAGAAGGCGGCCCAAGGTGTGGGGTAGGTGAGGTTCGTGTAACACAAGGCTGCGGCGGGGTTAGAGATTGAGTTGCAAAGGAAACATGACTGCAGCCGACGTTGGCGTTGCTATGCGTGCGTGCTTATTTTCGTCCCATTGTCAAATCACCGGAGCAAGCACATGACCTCTGTGCATAGACTGAAAAGACAAAAGGCTGCATCAGTTTTGGCCAATTCGGGCCAATTTGATGGGTCGTCTTATTACCCGGGGAGGGGTCATCGCGGGCATGGTTGGGTAAGTAGGCAGGTTAGGTTGTTTTTGAAGAAGCGAGGAATTGAAGCGAGCTCAGCAAGGGAAGCCGGAAAAATTGTGGTGGTTCTGTTGGGCCGTTGCTGAGCCGTTCCTTCTCTTCCAATCCCCAGGCGCGGACTCGGCAAGAAAGGAAGGAAGGAATGAATGAATTTGGACAGTGCATATAGAAGAAGCCCACTGTGCATGCTTGCTCTTTCATTGATGCCTGAGGTGGCTCACGCCAGGCAGGAGGAAGGAGGCAAGCACAGGCAAGCTCAGGCAAGCCAGGCTCTTTCCCACGTGCGCCGACGTCATATTACCGGCCCCACACACTCTGCAACAGCGAAACAGAGCGTCTTGGCTTCCTTCCGACACAGCCGAACTGGCGGGTTTTTGGTGCGACGCAGGGATGTCTTTTGCGGAGGCGGAGCCCTGCCAGGATGGAAGGATTCTAGAAAATCGCCCCTTTTGCTAGTTTTTTTTTTTTTTATCGTTCTTACGCCTCGCTTCTCGGCTCCGAAGTGATTGCACTCGCTGGTTGGCTCCGCCGTCAATTATTGGCCAGTTCATCCAGGACGCGTTGGCCTGTACGAATCCCCCATCGGTGCATTTGATCGCTAACTTGATGGAGCGAAGGCCCCAATCAACAGCCTCCCAGGGAACATCCAATGTCCTCTGAAACATGGTGCCTCGATTTTCCTGGACACGGCCGACAGCTGTGCCTGGGATATCAGGGGCTTTCCCTGTGGTTGGCCGACGGATTGGGAAGTTCTCCTGTCTCCTGATGGGCAATCCCGCCTTTTGGCATTGAATTTGGAGATTTGGATTGACCCTCTGTATTTCTCAAATCTCTGAGGGAGATGATGGTTTCGACCTGGTGAAACGAATCTCTGTCTCTCCCCCGCCTCCCTCGTCCCGTGCGGATGATCCTCACCCACCCATGCTCGCTGCAACGGAAATGATGTGCAGCAAGCCAGAGGGGGGTTCGCGGGGGGTTGGGCTTGGGGGTTTAAAGACATGGTTGTTAAGCTATGGTGCGGGGGTTCCATTGGCCATGTTTTGGCTGCCCACGCGATAACCATCACAATGGCTCGCAGTCAAGGGCTCGAAGGGCAAGGACAAGGACGAGGACTTTCCCTTCGCGTCCCTTTCGAGGGATCTTTTTGAACCAGAGCCCCTGACCAAAGCGGCATCTCCTTGCCGATACGAGCTGTTGCATTCTGCAGTATGCGCGACACACCTTCGTCCGTCCACGAGGGCGGTGCGCAATCGAGATCGTCTCGCCCGATGGGGTCATACTCGCAGTAACTCTGCCACGTAGACAACATTTAGGGCTCAAGACACAGGGCGAAGGAGGCAGCTCGTGACCGACCTCCCTTTGCCGAATTGAGCTCTCTGCAGCCCATGCTCGTCTGGCTGCGGGGGACGGGCCCAATTGAAGGGTGCCGATGCGACCCCTCGCGATGCTTCCTCAACGTGCCGGAAACCCCTCTTCGGCCTGGTGCAGCCCTGCTGCTGGGTAGCAATCGAGAAATCGAGAGTTCAAAGGCCCCTTCCTGTCACTCGATAACGTCATGATGGCCGAGATATCGTGGGGTGCTTGAAGCCCACAGACTGTCGCGAATGATTACGTTGGGAGGGGCGGGGGAGGCGCGGGTGTAACGGGGGCCTCCATCGCCGTCCTGGCTGGAAATCTCGATGTGCGGCGTTGGGAGGCCGATCGGCGTCGTTGAACCCATCCTGCGAGCTGGTATCGACCCATGCGCGGCAGCGGCCGGCACCGGTCCGCGGTTGAACCATTGCAACTGCCGCGGGGGAGAAGAGGAGGGAGGGGGAGCAACAGGAAACCGTCAAAGTTCTATCATGGGTCGGGGCAATTGGCCTCCTGAGATGTTGAGTTGCTTTGCATATTTCATGCGTGGTGGGCGCGGGCGGAACCTGGGGGAGGTTCCGCGAGGTTGCAAGAGATCAATTTCGATCCAAGCTTCGCTTCTCAACTCACCCCGGGCTCTGCTGATAGAGGGGTAAAAAGAAGATGCGCCTGCAACGGGCCCTCCCGTGGAGGTTGCCGTGTGGCGACGGCTGTGGCCAGTAAGTACCCTGATGTAGTTATTCAGCGGGCAAAGAAAAGGCCGAACTCCAAGTGTTGGTAGGGTAAAAGAAGTAGGAGGTGGTAGTTGAGATGTCGGCGAAGCCTCTACTGTAAAAAAACAGAACAAATGAAACAAAAGAACTATTATGTAGTACTCGACTTCCTCTTCTTTTACTCGATTTTTTTTTCCCTTGATTTCTCTGCCCGTTTTATTTTGCCCGATTTATTTTGCCTGGTTTATTTTGCTCGTTCGTTTTTCCTGCTCGGGGTTTGGGTCCGGCTTTTTTTTTTTTTTTTTTTGGCCAGAGGGTGGTAGTTTATGTTGCGGCCCGGCACCATCCCGCTCATCCCCGGCGCCGCTGCGGCAGCAGGACGAACCTACCAGACACCCCGCGCGACGCGGGGATTCAATAGCGAAAATAAAAAGGTGCGAAGATCGGTCCCAACAGCCCGGGCTAGCTAAAAGCAGGCTGTGTTTCCGCGTCGGGTCGCAGAACGGGTTGAGCTCCTCGCGATGCCACGACATTTGGGGTCCTGCCGTGGGATGACCAAGTTCCCGCACCAAGCTGCCAAGCCATGTGCAATGTATGCGTGCATGGGGAGGAGCTTTCGATGGCGGAAGAGAGGAGACAAGAGGAGACTCGGTGCCGAAGCCGTCTAAAGGGGAGAGAGTGAGGGGGATGGTGTTCTTTTCGATCCAATTGCCGTCATCCAGCGGCGGCGGGCGGGCGGCGGCGAAGAGCGGAGCCCCTTGGGCTTTTTCGCCCGGGTTGCCCGATGGATGGATAAATCTGGTACTCTTGGGGCCAATATCCAAAGAATTGGTTGACCTGGTCGTGCGGGTGACGAAATGGGAATAAAGGGTCCATGACACAGAGCCCTGTTCCCAAAGGACGTCATATCCAAGCCTGGGGACCCTAGGGATCACAGACATGAAACAACACAGGGCCGGGCAACGGCGCCTAACAGCGCAATCATCGCCGATCCGTAGTGGGTCTCCGGGTTTGACGGCCACTCAAAGCCGGGGCTGACTACATAGTTACACAACCATGACAGGAGGGAGCGGAAAGGCTGGTGGTGTTCGGCATCTCTAGGTCTGATGGTGAAAGCGGATCAGGATCTTTGAGGATGCCAATCTGTCATTCCTCGTTTCCCTTCTGACCAAGGATCTGCGTGGCCGCCGTTTCATAACAGGAACATCACCGTGGTCGTGGTACCTAGCGCCCGGCTGGCAACGAAACGGGAACGAGCACGTGGAGGTGCCCCAGCTCCGTGCTGGCTTCCGGCGGCCACCAAGGCCGTTGCGCCATTTGCCAGTATCCAACCTGCCAACGTCGGCGCGTTGCACTCGCAAGAAAAACATGAGAGGGTTGTTGGGATCGTCTGTGTCGCCCACGGGGCCATCTCAGGGAGGGGGCGATGGGACGGCAGCGGGTCGATACCAATCACACATAGAATCCGCTCTGCTGGAAAAGACGGCACTCGGTTTGCTGGAAAGAGCTCTGCCGAGACGTCAGTCGCCTGTTAGGTCGCCATCATTGGTGGGGGTTCGGGATAACGTTGAGGTCCAAACTGCTCAGCTCCTCCGCGGCAGCAGGGGCTTCGCTATCGCCCTCAGATAACTGGCGCCGAGGGTTCGAAATTCTGTCCTCGTGATGATGCAGTCCGAGGCGACCCTTGCCCCGTCAAACTGCCCGAGACCCCCAGGCGTCCAATCATGACATGATCTGTATATAGAAGGTGCCCACATTCCTACGGTGCCACGGCTTGCTCCCGCCGCTTGCGATTTGGAAGAAAGGAGGACACTCCTGGCGACGCAGTTTGTGATCAGACGAATGGAAAGCCTGGATAGTCAGAAGTTGGGAAAACACGATCTTCGCCTTGGTCGAGCCTGACACATGATAGTAGCCGGGGTGTCGGAAACAGATCACCGTTTGTACCCGATATTCCAGCTTGGGAGTTGAGAGAGAGGGGGGGCTCTTTTCCCCCATGAGAGATGGGGGGGTCGATTTTGATGCGATGCGATGCCGTGCATCATGCCGATTGTGTGCGTCGCGTTGCGCTGGCAAGGGCGGTTGGTCCTCTTGGCAGGCAACAAAAGCGCTTCAGTGAAACCGAGGCTCTGCGCAAGCGTCGTCTGTGCCTGGCAACAATTTTGACCAGATCCACGGGTCTAAGCTTTGGGTTTTTGTGGCTGACCCGGAAATGTCGGTGAATGTGATGTGTTGCATGGATACAATCGCAGGTGTCCAAGGTGAACCGATGTTTATTTGTTGCTGAAAATCCAAATCCACCTGTGAGATGGGAGTTTTCAGAGCGGGAACCCCGAGAAATCCGACTACCCGCGTTTCAATTTGGGCATAGTTGGAATTACTCCCAGGGATTAGAGCCACGTCAAAATCGTGCACCAGCAAGGAAATATGTACCATGTAACGTTAACATACCGAGTTCCTATGTGAAGGTGTTTACGCAGTACCTATTTGCGACCTGTCGGTGTGCTAGCGAGCCGTGTTGCCGGGTTCTTGGAGCGATCCCGCCGGCCAAGGAATTCACCCCGATGCGGATTGATGCAACCACGGTAACTATTGTGTATCGACGTAATGCGTAATCTATATTGGCCCTGCTCAGGGCTAATCCGTAATTATACATACCAAGTATATGTTACGCCCTTTGAGCTCTGCCACCGTTCGGCTTCCCGGCACAGGCGGCTGGGTGCCTTTTTGTCGTATGCATGTATGTACAAATGTACTTCGCAGCGGGTTGGAAACGAGGGGTAGAAACAAACCCGGGCCATGTGGGCAGCATCCAGGGTGTGTGGGGAGGGACATGAACAAACCACCCAGCAGCTTGGATCCGCTTCCCGTGTCCCTCCAGTTGCCCGGCGGCGGGCTCATGACGGCATGAGGTAAACTTCATCGGGTGCCTGCGCTCCTGTGGTAGGGAGCCGGGATGGGGGCGTCGCAAGATGAAATTGCGGTAAATTATGTGATTATTCACGGTGGTGGCTTGCATTTCTTTGTTGACGTCGCCCTGCCCCGCTGGCGTCAGAGCTCTCTGTTCGCTTGTCGCTTTTGGTGGAGCGGGGTTCTTTGAACTGTCGTCGGCCAACAAAGGATTTTGCGAGCGTATCCATACCCTAGCAAAGGTGCCAGCCTGTCAGAATTCCGTCTTCTAGCACCATCCATGGGGGCAATTAAAAAAAGGTGAAAAAAGGGATTGCTGGAAGGGACGTGACAGCGAGACCCCCGCTGTTTGGTCGTCCCTGTTGGAACGTTGGCATTCCGATATGTCCGGATCAGGCAGGCTCGATGCGGAATTCCCGTCGCAGAGGGGACAACTTCAAAGTTTCGACCCACAGAATATTCCTGTCTCCCATGATCTCATCCCGTCCCCCATTCCCCCCCCCCATCGACCGTTGGCGAGAGAGAACGATAGCGAATGAACGAGAATGGGTTGTGGGGTCGGTTCGTGGGGAGTGATATGGAGCTGGCTGCAAGAATAGCATCGTATTGACATGGACGGGGGCTTGAGAAGGCGAAAATACGTGTTACAAAGTATCTTGGACAAGGTAACTTCAAGGTTTGAGAGCTTGCCTGATTCGGGCGGTCTGACCTCACCCCACAGAAGCGAGCTGGGCCGACTCGGGGTGACGCCGAGGGACCACTGGCAGTTGTCAAGGTGTTTTCCGTACCACAGCTCGCACAGCTCCGCCGATTGGTGACCCATTGAAAATTTGCGCCTGGATTGAATTTCCCAGACGCCCCCGGTAGCAGTCCGTTCCAATCGACGTCGCTCTTCAAAGAAGCGCCCCGTTCAGATCAGCGGCCAGCAGGTCTCATGTGGTCTTTGAACTGGGAACAGCATTGGAGTATCTGGTACCTCGGATGCCGGGCTCCCAGGCGCTCCCAGGCTAACTGCTGGGCAGTCCTGCCCAAATCTGCCCAAGGTGAAACAAACCGTTACGGCACGTCACGGGGGGTACTTGTATTTCACACACTGGAATTTTTCTCAGTAGTTCAACATACTGTGTAGGTAGAAGTTGGAAGGTGCGGTGTAGGTAGGGCCAAGCTGCCGCCTGCCCACTTGTCTACGCCCGCTTGCCCGAGGGGCTCCGCCCGGACGCGGAACGGGTGTAGGTTGTGCTGAGCAGTTGCAGTTTTTCCCAGAAAAGGGAAGGAGTAGGTTGGGGGGACACGAAATCCCAGCTGAGCCAGGCTTGTCAGTGCCAGGCTTGCCAGGCTTGCCAGGACAGCGCCCCAAGGTGCCCAAGTTCCCGTGTCTCCCTTGGGTCTGCCCGTTTGCCTCCTGCCAAGAACATCCACCACGCTTTGGCCCGTTGGTCGTGGTGACGGCAGTGCTGGCTGTACGTATAGTACCTATAATAATAAGTGCGGATGACACAATTTTCACCTTGACCCTGACCGTTGTTTCTCCTGTCGATGATCGACCTTGCACCAAGCGCCCCAACCGCCCTTGTCCTGGCCATGACTCCCGCACCGCCCACACCGTCGACCTCCACACTAAATATTTCCGGGCATTGCATTCTGGGACGCGGCGAGACAAAAGGACCATCCGCCCTCCACCACAGCCCTGAAATAAAGTTTATAAGCAGACGCACGCATCACCCTTGAATCCAGCTTCCCTCTTTCGGACCAACGACTGTGCATCTGTCTGTACTCTTGTACCACGCACCTCATTACCAATTACAAGTACAGCAGCACACGCACACCCACAGACGACTTTTCGACAGGGAGAGCGAGAGAAAAGAAGGAGAAAAAGATCAGACGAAATAGAAGCAGCAGCAGCAGCAGCACTGCCGCATTGGCCACCCATCACTGATCCCGGCCGTCATATCCGTTGCCAACCCTGCAGGTCCATCACAACGCGGCCGAGTCATTCATCATCAAACCAGCAGCATTCCTCTCGACAACGCTGTCGACTCACCCACACACACACACACACACACACATACACACGCACACGCACATCACCGAAAAGCAACGCGCATCTTGCTAGATTCGCCCCCGCTTCACAATCTCGTTTTTTATCAAATTTTTAACCCATTTTTCATCAATTCGACAGCCGCATTCGTGGGTAGACACCATTTTAGCAGGCCCTGCAAAAATACAGACATCCCGTGGTACAAAAGTACAAATCATTGTTCGGTTGTCTTTGCCAAGCAAGCAGCTACCCGGGACAGCTGCAACTCGAGGCGCCCGAAAAACCCGGAGACGGACGGACGGACGGCTTGCAGCGAGACGCCGGCCGCCTTCGTCCCAAACCGCCAAGAAGCACGCAGCAACGAGGGACACGGGAGGTCGCCTTTTTGCTGTTCGATCTGAACCGAGCTGGACTGGACTGGGAGTGCATTGGGAGTGCATTGGGAGTGCATTGGGACTGCACTGAGACTGCACTGGACTTACTGCTACTCGTGACACGCCGCCCGACTCGCTTCTCCCCATCGGCACACTGTGGATTATTTCGACGGGTCTACAGGTCGACAGGTCGACAGGCAACCTCAAAGGCTCCCCCTTCCATTTTCTGGCTGGTTGCTCTTCCTGCGCCTAGTTTTTGTGGATCTCTTGAGTTACCTGCCACCCCCAGAACCGGCATCCTGGGAATGCCAGTGCCCTAAACAGCCACTTGCATACGGCCTGCCACCTCATCTTCTGCCGTGAGCGACCCGGGCTGTCACCACACGGGCCACTCCCGACCCATCCTCCCCAGGAAATCGAACGCAGCAAAATCGTACGTACATGTCGGTACCTGGGTCGTCCTTCGTACCTGTACCCACAGATACACCTGCACGACCAAAGGCCGACTGGCTCGGTTGCGCCCCTGCGGCTTGCTGATCTCGCGTCGACTCGTCCTGCTGGTCATCCATCGACTTGCGTCTACAGCCCCGGCGGCCACTCTCCTCCTTTAGACACATCTACCCCCAGGGACCCGCCTCTGCCGGAATCATAGGCTCGTCTATAACTTTCCCCGCATTTTTGATCGCCAGACAGGAAGGCCGGCTTTCTTAGACACCACTTGGGAAAAATGCGGCGGAAGGCGCTTCGTCCCATATAATATTCAGCATTTCTCCTCCCAGATCAGCCGTGGTGCTCCACACCCACACGCTCAGGCCCACTCCATCACTCGACCTGATCCACCAGCACGGCCCTCACGTTATCCGGGGGGGCCTTCTTTCTTCTTTTTCAAACGACACCATGACAGTTACCATCGACTCCAATTCATCATTACCACCTGGCGCCTCGGTCATGGCGTCCGAATCACTTCAGACGCGCCGGGCACGCCCCAGCCAGGTCAAGACCGACCTGCTACCGCAAACACAGCTGGTCTTGATACCACCCTCGGCCCTCAGCAATTCTTCTGTATCACCTGCCTCGCAACATGGCTCGCCCGCCGAGACCGTTGGGACCGGTATCACCACCAGCAGTTCTCTTCAAGCGTCCCCCGAGACACTAGTGGCTTGCCAAGAACAGGGGCTAGACGACCTCTACCAGATGGTCGCGCCTTTCCAACTCCCCGAGTCCATCATTGCCAAGCACCAGCCTGAACAGACCATCACTCAGATGTCCAGGAGGACTAGCACTGCCTCGCTCAGCCAACCCACCTTCAAGGCGGCTGGCACCCTAGCCATGGGGAATATCGTCCGGCGCGCCTCGATGACGGTTCGCAAGGCCGCCGGCTTGATGAACAGGCGGCCGTCCTCAACTCACCCGAGGAGCCGCGACGGGAGTGTTGGCCCCGGTGTAATACGCCGGAGAGGCAGCGTGAGCAACCCGAACACGCCCTATGAGAACATCAGCCCCTTTGACAGCGAGTCGGACAACGAAGCCGCCGTTGTCGTAGAAGATCGTCCCGGTGACGATGCGACGCTCCAGGAGACGGGCTCGATCCGTTCGTCAACTTCGTCTGATGGTTTCGGCTTGATCCCGCTCTCCCTCCGCCAAGGCATGAGCCTGACCAAGGTCTCCAAGAAGAAGAGCACCAAGCGGATCACCTTATACCTCGATCCCGATACGGCTAAGATCTGGTGGGACAGGAACAAGTACCTCTACATCGATGACATCAGAGAGATTCGCACAGCCGAGGACATTCGGCAGTATCGGCTCGACTCGGCGCTCCCCGAATCTGTAGAACCTCGCTTTTTCTCCCTGATCTACACGCTCCCCAACAAGACAAACACCAAGCTGTTGCACCTCATTGCCGACAGCGACGAGTCCTTCCAGCAGTGGATTGTGGCCCTCGAGACCATCTCCAAGCACCGTCAAGATTTCGCTACAAGCCTGATGTCCTTTAACGACAAGGCTGTCCGCGCGTACTGGGGGATGGAGATGGAGAGGCAGCTGGGGAAGATGCGTTCCGCTGAGGACGAGCACATCGATTTCGCCGGCGTTGAGCGCGTGTGCCGTAGCCTACACATCCACGTGTCCGTCGATGAATTACGTAGAAAGTTTGACATGGCCAAGGGTCGACGGGGCAGCTCCGACGACCTGCCGTCCAGCCCGAATCACGGGTCTCGGCTCAACTTTGACGAGTTCATCGAATTTGTGCGCCTCATGAAGACCCGCAGGGACATCCGACGCATTTACCACACCCACGCGAAAGACGCCGCATCTGGCATGACGAAGGACGAATTCCTCCAATTCCTGCGCCACGTGCAGCGCGAGGCTGTCGACGACGATCTAGCCTTTTGGGAGCTTGTTTTTGCGCGATTCGCCCGCAAGGGGAAGCTGAGGGACACCGATAAGCAAGGGATCACGGGCGAGGAGCGGTTGACCATGTCAGAAACGTCATTTGCCGGCTTTCTGACGTCCACCTCGAACGAAGCCATCCCCAAGGAGCCCCAGGAATACGTGCTCGACCGGCCCATGAACGAGTACTACATCTCGAGCTCGCATAACACGTACTTGATCGGCCGCCAGGTGGCCAGCATTTCCAGCCACGAAGGTTACATCTCGGCTCTGCTGCGGGGTTGCCGCTGCATCGAAGTCGACTGTTGGGACGGAGAGGGCAATCAGCCAGTCGTGACGCACGGCCACACTCTGACGACGAGCATCTCGTTCCTCGAAGTCATCAAGACCATCAACAAATACGCTTTCGCCAAGTCACGCTTCCCTCTGTGGATCTCGCTCGAGGTGCGCTGCAGCCCGAACACGCAAATCAACATGGCCAAGATCATGATCGACATCTTCGGCGACAAGCTGGTGCGGGCGCCCCTGGACCCATCCTCCGACCGCCTGCCGTCACCGTCGGAGCTGATGGACCGTATCCTCATCAAAGTCAAGAAGTCGGACGAGTCGGTCAGGAACATTGACCGACCCACCGGGCGGCGGCGTGGCAACAGCGTGCCTTCGCCGTATCTACGAGCGCTGGCCATGGATAACGTCCCTGTGCCGGTCCCGTCGAGTCCCCTTCTTAGCCCGTCTCCGGCTTCGAGGTCCAATCGGCAGATCAACACCATCACCGAGGGCTTGGTCCACGAAGCCGTCAGTAGCAGTCCGAGCGAGTGCGATAGCGAAAGCGAACTGGGCGCCGCCAAAAAGGCCAACAGCAAGATCCATCCCGTGTTGGGGGAGCTGGGCGTGTACTGCATGGGCATCCACTTCGATGGCTTCGACAGCCCCGACGCCAAGAAGTTCAACCACATCTTCTCTTTCAAGGAGAAGACGTTTGCCGAGAAGAACCAGCTGAGCGAAGGAAAGAGAGCTCTGTACCGCCATAACATGCGCCATCTGATGCGCGTCTATCCCAACGGCGGGCGCATCTCATCGAGCAATTTCGACCCTCTCATCTACTGGAAGCGCGGAGTGCAGATGGCGGCCCTCAACTGGCAGACTTTTGACACGGGCATGCAGCTGAACCAAGCCATGTTTGACGGCGGCACAGCCCAGTCAGGCTATGTCCTCAAACCCATCGAGGGGCGTACAATCCAAGTGAGGCCTAACCTGTCCCCCGACGAGTGTGTCGGCAGGCGCGTGCGGAAGAAGGTCGCCTTCGAGATCGAGGTCATCTCTGCGCAGCAACTAATGCGACCCTCGAACCTGGGCGAAAAGCGCACGGTAGACCCCTACATTGACGTCGAGGTGCTGATGGCCGACGACAAGCGGAACAAGGCGGACGCGGCTGCGTATGCCGCAGCTCAACAAATGCAGCTCAAGCAGCGCACCAAAGTCGTGCGCGACAATGGCTTCAACCCCGAGTTCAACAAGGCCTGTACCTTCGATGTCACCACCAAATATCCCGACTTGATCTTCGTGCGGTTCAGCGTCAAGCTCGCGGACAAGGGTGGATACAACGACAAGGCCCCCTTTGCCACTTACACGGTCAAGCTTTTGCGACCTCAAGCAAGGCTATCGCACGATCCCACTGTACAACCACAGAGGGGAGCGTTTCCTATTCTCGACTCTCTTCTGTAACATCAAGAAGGGCCCGGTCACCGAAATCCTGGTCTCGTATCAGGAAGAAGCGCCGCTCAAGAACGGCAACAAACTCAAGAACATTGGGAGGAATGTTTTTGCCAACACGAGTCCGAGCCCCAAGTCCAGCATGGACAGCGGCCGAACAACATGATTATCCCGCCTCAAAACATCTGTAGCAACACCTTGGCTGCAAGTGGAAGATTCTGCGGGCATGTACCAACACCATATTTTTGCAGCTTTCTATCACATTTCTCCGGTTCAAGTCCACCTCGCACCCTCCTCATCGGCAAGGGAATGGATAAGGAGGGGAGGGACACCACCGAGGCAAGACCCGGACACCATTTTTTTCATTTGTTATTCATCACCGGAGGCGTTTTTTTGGGTGAAACAGGAGGCATTACCGAGGGGATTCGAGAGCATTTGCATGCGCCGTCGACACGTCCTGGCGACCCACACGGACGGCCTCTGATACCACCATGATACCCGCATTGCGAGGCTTACATTTACGAACTGGCGCGAAAGGGCTTATAGACAGGGAAGAAGCGAGAAAAAATTAGGCGGGCTGTTGGTTTGATGATTTTCAATTTTCTTCTCTTCTGCTTTCCTCCCTCTTCATGTCACCGAGGGCTTTCACTTGTTTCATCTTTTCAAAAAAGGGGGGGTGATGATGGCCATCTGGTTCGGTGGCGGATGAGGGATCATGGCGACCTCTCCGGCGAGGCTCTGCATTGCATGGAACAAAATAAGGGACGGATAAGACATCATAAACAAGGACTGGGATGGGGACCGCAGAGTGTGCATCGATCTCCCTGGACGGCGGGACCTGGGCATGTTCATGTACATCGGAGGGCTGGTTTGGGTTTCGGCGGCGCATCTCGGCACGGCAGGGCAGGGCAGGCTCGCTGCTGGGCACCTTTTCCTTCTATTCTTGTCGCTGCTAGACAGCACGTCAACTTCACCTTCGATGAACACATTTTCTCTCTTGTGGATACTGAAAGGGGTTTTTGGGCGGCTCTTGCATCCTTGCGCCATGTTCGGTGGGACGCCAGGCGTTTTGTTGGTCAGGATCGTGTTTTCTCTGGGACTCCGGGGTGCATCTTACCTGTTCTCTGGGGGCCCGTCTCTTTCGGCCGGCATTTCATTGAGATTGCCATTTGCGGCTGGGTACGCCGGTGGTGTAGGCATTTTGCCTTTGCGTTTTTTTACAGGAGTTTCTAGTGCATGCATACCCGTCGGCGGCGGTGTGGTTGATGGGATCTGTATACTGCTTGCTACCAGCGACTCGCGCTGGGGGAAATCGAGACATGTCTCCTCGCTTTGTTCTGTGCTTTGTCCGTGGTTGGCCATGACATGATTGATGGGTGTGAAACCTGCCCTTCTCACACATTGCCGCTTTGACCTTCTCATTGCGCTACGCCGACATTTCTTCATATCGCCATGCCCCCCCCACCCCCTATATCACGCACCATTAATCAACACTGGCACTTTCCATCCTACACACCAGATATCGGGTACGGGACCAACCTGGCCATTCAAACCCCAACCAGAGTCAAGCCTTCCCAAGTAACCCGCCATCTCGGCCTTAGCAGCAACAGCGCGAGTGCTACCGCCGCTTACCACATCCCATCAACCACCACCCACCACCCCACGCCACATTACACACCATCCACAGATGGCAAGCCGGGCCCCTCGAGATAAGTCAGAGCCGGCAGTGATGTGATGGGAGGGCACGGGACGGGATGGAACGGTGCGATCAGCTGACCCCCCCGGTCTGTGACACCACACCTGTCGGATGATGGGAGAGGGGGGGTGGTTATGCTACCCGACGTGCCACAAGACGGGAGGTAAGGAAGCAGGATACCAACCGGGGGGTTGAGTTCACTTGTACGGTTGTTTGGAGCTGTTGGATGGCGTTATCAGGGTGGGTTATGTCGAGTTGTAGTTAGTTGGTGTTTGTTTGCCTCCTTCCTACCTGGGGAAGAGGATGAGCGGGTTGAAACTGCTTGGGGGATGGGAGGGTAACGAGAAGTGAGATAAGGAAGGGTACCAGAAAGTTAGAATCGCTAACTAAAGGCCTAGTCTAGGCCTCCATCCACCATCTATACATATAATATAACGTTATTACTAGAGCAAAAATTACCACCCAAAAAGTCCGCATCAGGAGCCCGCTTTAAGAACCCGCGTTTTTACCACCGCTTGTTGAAACGCTTGCTAAAAGCAACAATCCACCTCCCACCC